TAAAAGATAAAATGACATATACTATATAATTAAATGATTGTGTACACACCACAAATATAAGATAAGATTAGGGATGGCAAAAATACCCGCACCCGTGGGTATTTGCAGGTAAAACCCGTTACGGATAATAAATGGATATGCTAATTGGGTACCCGCAGATAATGGGGACGAATAATTTTTTATCCGTTTATAAACGGGGCGGGGGTGGGTATGATGATATTCATACCCGCAGGTACCCGTTTAATAATATTTCTTAAATATCCGAATTATCATTGTACCACATAACCCTAAAACTCTACTCTCTCATCTTATTTTCTTACAAAAGTAATGTTGATGAAGTTACCAACATGTGTTAAGCATGTTATAGAATTATGTTGGATGTAATTTGATTGATTTTTCTAGCTTTGATTGGACCAATAAAATTTATGTATTGTAAGTTATTTACTGTCATTTGAAATTATGAAATTAAATTATTTTAGTTTTGTGATAAGACTTTAACTTACTTGTGAGATTAATGTATATTAAGTTATTAATTATCTTGCATTTTTATTATTATTTCAACAAAATTAACGTTAAATACAAGTTCAAAATTAACAATAAATTTTTATTTTTTAATATTTTAATGACATTAAATATAAACTTAAAATTATTTATAATTAATTTTTTTAATTTATTAAAAGATTTATAAATATCCATGGATATCTATGGATATTTGTGAATATTTTAGAAATTCATGAATACTCACTTAATGAATACTTGCATGAATATAAGATAAGTATGAGACCAATTTTCATCTAACGGGACATGGACCACATTGACAGATAAGATGATACATTTATTCTTACATTATTCGCCAACTCTTATGTACCATCCTACCTACCAAATTGATAGTGTGTCCACCATAAATGTAGGATAAAATCGATGATACGTATATCATAATTTTGTTCTTACATTACTCACTAACTCGTATATCTCATCCTACCTACCAAACGAGCCCTTTATACTCGAGCTTGTTTTACATACCAAATTTAAGTTTTTAATAATTATTAAAGGATTTTATTTTTTTCTTTCTAAAATAAAATAAAATTAGTGTTGACTGAAAAATAATATTATTTATTTTAATTTTCATTTTATTTCTTCCATGTATTTTAATAAATATGTATAAAAGAAATAAAATAATTTTTTATTGCCTTTCAACAAAATAATATAACAACCGAAAATCGGTCTACTATATACTATTTTAAATGTGATTGGACTGAATTTTAATTTTAAAATTAAATTAATAAACTCTTATATTATAAAACATGTTACACAACTTAGTTCTTCTACTTTTTCAATTTAAAAAAATATATATATCTTCTGTCCTTTAAGCATTTCACACGTTATCCCGCAAATAACGAAAAAGTTCCCCTTTCAAACATCCCAAATTACATTCTTGTATATTTTTGTGATATATTTTGATTTTTTTTAATTATTTAGTTAGTTTAATTTGGTTCATTTATTTTTAAATTGTTCGTTGAACATATGTCATTTTACTACTTTTAATACGCGTGGCAACACATGTCATATCTTTTATTGTGTGCCACAAACACAAAGATATTAATGCTATTAATCTAAATTGGATAGAAATGATAACAATGCATTGTTTTTAAAATTAAGTGACCCTAATGATTTTTTTAATAATAAATAAATGAAATTGAACCAATTAAATAAAAAAAAATGTTTAACCATATTTTCTTAAATAACTTCAGCTTAATCAGAGGTCTCACGTTTAAATTTTATGTAGTAATGTAAATACTCAAATAGAAAACTTTGTCACCTATAAGTCTATAACAATCATAGTCTCACAAAATAGTTCTACCTTCATGAATGACTCATGATAAAAAAATATCCATATAGTCTATACCAAAGTTATTTGATCCTTTCAATTATTAATTGCTTTCAATTTAATACTCTATATTTTATATCTTCCTCAAAATTGAGTTTCAATATTTTTTTAAAAGAAATTATCAATTATTAAAATAATTTTATATTGCAATTTAAATTATTTATCGTCAATTAAAATATTATGTTACATAATTAAAATATTTATTTATTATGAATTTTAATTATAATATAATTTATTTATTATATATTTTACTTCTATATAAGGAAACATTTATCTTATATATAATACATATACACTAAAATACTTGGTATAAAAATAAAACGATAAAGGAAAGTCTTAAACTAATCTTCTTTTCTTCTTAAAAAAAAAAAAAAACTCTAAAACACAGTTACTGAACAAAGCTGTATTCTATCGTGGATTAATTAATAAATCGTCCAAGGTTGTCATAGGTAGGGATGGTAATTGGGCGGGTCGGGTACGAGTTTTATGATATTTGTTCCCGTTTTCGCGATACAAACTCATCCCGTACTCGTACACGTACTTACCGGGTATGTGATTTTCATCTCCATCCTCGTCCCTGTCGAGTATCGAGTATACCCGTACCCGTACTCGTACCCGTAAAATTTTTTCTTTTTTTGCAAAAAATATATATAATATTTTTTAATTATTTTTTTATTATATTATAATTATAATTAAATTATTTCTTTAACTCATATTTTAATCAAGAGATTTCTTAATAATTATACAACTATAAATATTTCACATTATAATAAATAATTACACATAATAAAATATTAATTTTTTTAATATAATTAAATCGGGTATGGGTACGGAACGGATATGTATATACCCATACCCATACTCGTACCCGGTTTAAGTTATCGGGTTTTACCCGTACCCGTACCCGTACCCGGTTAAACCGAATATTTCTCATTAAAGTCGGGACAGGTTCGGGTATTATCCACGAGTACGAGTTTATTTGTCATTCCTAATCATAGAAAATTAAATTAATGACTGCTATAAGTAAAATTAGATCATCTACTATACTTAACTCATTTGAAAATTTTATAAAAATTGCATTTTCATCATCCAATAATTACTACAAGAGTTGTTCCTTCTCTAACTCATTCTACACTCACAAATGTTATATATTTGGATTGGATATGCTGAAAAAAGAAAAAATGTTAACAAAATAACATTTTGGATGTTATACATTAAGTTGGTAGGTTTCTTACATTTCTCTCTCCACGTGCACTTTCCCGTTCTTTAAGAATAGTAGATATTCAAATCCAAACTGTAACAGACAACACGTGGAAGGGGAAATGTTGTCATAACTACTATCAACACCGGCGTCCATTCTATGAACTGGAAAAGTGAGAGAGAAGGTGGAGAAAGAGGGTTGGGGTTAGGTTATAAATTTTAATTAATACACCCAAACATTGTAGGTAAAGACAACCTTGTCTTTTCAGAAGAAAAAAAAAATCCTTTGCATTAAATATATATATCAAGTGTTAATTCCATTATCAAGCGTTAATTGTTTTTATTATTATTTTATTTTATAATGAGATGTAACTTATTTTTACTAGATTAACTCTTATAAAGATAAAGTGGACGATTCTATATTTAAGGCAGGATCAAAATCTAATCTTTAGTTAAGGAATTTATATAAGAACCAAACTATTTGAGTTAATAATTTTTAATTTTTCTTTTGAAAAATGATACATATTTTGAGACAAATTAAAATGTTTGAAGAAACATTTTTTTTAATAAAAAACGTAGAATGGGAAGACTCCCCTAATACTATTGGGTAGGTGACAATGACATATTGGAGTTGCTAGTAAAGGACAATCTAAAGAATTATTGCACAAGTCTTAATCACAAGCAAATCTACTGAGTTAAAACTACTTAACTAATCTGTAGGTGTCAGGTTTGGACCACAAACAATTTTACTTAGTTGCAGATACTCAACTAGTCCCTAGGCATAGGATGTTCATGAAGCACTTTAATTCAAATTTGAGTAAATTAAAGTTCGAACTAATCAATTTTGATTAGTTTGATTTAAAATAAAGTTATCAAAAGAAAAAAAAAGTTTTAAAGTTATCAAACAAACCAATCAACAATAGGTTGATTTGGTTCATATTAATCATTTTTCTTAAAAAATGACAAATATTTATTTTTTAAAGCAAGGTTATCAATAAGGTTATACGACGGATGGCGGCAAGGACCTTTAAGTGTAATATTGTCATGACGGATGCTATGGTGGTCTATGGCGGACAAAAAAAAAAAATATATATATATATATATATATATAATATGATGCAAAAGCAGAAAAATAACAAACACAGTCACATTAAAACCAATAATATAACAATCTAAAATTCATGGCATTTATAATCTATTGATAGTCATCATAAAGAAACATAAACCCCTAACCAACAAAAACAGGCATCAAAACAAAGCAACAATGTTAAAAAATAGCAAAACACAATTGTCATTCCTAAAACTATTTTGTTTAACACTCTTCACTCTTCATCCTCATCAATGTCTGCATAATTAATTTCCACATGATGATGTTGCTCATTCAAAAATCCTTCAGCTTCTTCTCCATCTGAATGTATGAAATTAGCATTTGGTTCCTCCTCCTCACTGCTAGGCATGGCAACGGGGCGGGACGGGGGCGGGTTTTACGTTCCCCGCCCCCGCCCCCGCAAATTTAAACCGCCCCCGAT